GACGTCTGTCCACGCAAACACGGTTCCTGGTTCCCTCCAGGACACGCTTCACCGCCCTCCGCGCAGCCCGCTCTGGAGCCGCGCTGGACTGGAAGGCCCCGGCCAATGCACACGGCCGGGCGCCATCAGGACCGCGTCTTCTGACACTCGGGGTGTACTCGCTCAGTCCTGGAGGAAGCGGGTCTAGGGCCTCAAGGCTGAGAGTCCATCCGCGCTGGCTCCCCCACACCGGCCTGGGCAGACTGCAGGGCCCGGAGGTTCTGGAGGTTGGGAAGGTGGTCCCCTCCTTCCTCGGAGAGGGCAGAGCCCCCACTTCTCCCCACCCCTACCCCCACCCCCAGTCACTCCTAAAGCCCAGACTCCAGCTTTTAATCATGTGCAGCTTTGCCTCAAGCCGAGGCCTGCGAGGCCCAGCAGCGGGCACCCCTGCGCCTGGGCCCGCCTTTCCTCACCCGATGAAGCACAACCGCCTGCTCAGTCTGTCCCGCCAGCCACCAGCGCGCACAGGCCCCTCCGGAGCCCACAGGCCCGCGCAGTGCTTTGTAAGTTGCTAAAAACTTCAGGATTTTAAAAGATGTGCAAGGCTAAGTTTGACACGATCGTCGAATTGCTGTATATCTTTTCAAGTGATGAAGCCCACCTGGGGATTTTAAAGAAAAGAAGTTGTACTATGCTGTGTGAGAAATATTCGACTGTCTCCGCCTGTTTTCTATCTCAGTACTCATGATTATGGTGACTGTTCATAGCATGATCATTGCTTGGCCGTTGGAGGTTAACATTTGTTAGTGGAGATCGGGAAAATTTATTTGTGCGATTCTGCAGAGTTCATTTTTCTATTCCCAATATTTGCTGAAGTTAAATAAAAATTTTCAAGCCATTGATGTAACAAAATATGAAACAACAATTTTCTGCACCCCCCTCCATCAGAGCAGCACCCCCCTCCCCCTTGCCTTGGCCCTGGGGTTCTGAGTGGGGCCGGGAGGGCTCTGTCTTGCCTCTAGCTCAGCTCTCCCTGAACCACCTCCTTTTCGAGCGCGGTGACCTCACGGTTGGGATCACACTGAGGTGCCGGCCGAACAGCGGGCAAGGACTGAGGGCTCCATGCTGAAGGGAGGGGTGTTTGCCTGTCGGCGGCGTCTTCCCTTTCCGCCGTGACCAGGCTTCCTCGCCTGGACGCTGGACTGTGGCCCGAAGAGGCCTCGTGGCCCAGAGTGGACGGCTCAGCCCAGCGCCTCGGGTGACGGGAGGGCCCTTCCGCAGCACCCCCAGCCCCGCCGTCTCTGTCCCCTTCTCAGATGAGTGTAGGTTTGGTCAGATAACTACTCAAAACCTGACTCCCGTCCTTGTTGCCCTAACGGCATTGAACATCGGGTCCCTCTGTGTGTGTGCGCAGTGGGGGGTCTGGGACGGGTCCCTCTGTGTGTGCGTGCAGTGGGGGTCTGGGACTGGTCCCTCTGTGTGTGTGCGCAGTGGGGGTCTGGGACGGGTCCCTCTGTGCGCGCAGTGGGGGGTCTGGGACGGGTCCCTCTGTGTGTGCGTGCAGTGGGGGTCTGGGACGGGTCCCTCTATGTGTGCGTGCAGTGGGGGTCTGGGGCGGGTCCCTCTGTGTGTGCGTGCAGTGGGGGTCTGGGACGGGTCCCTCTGTGTGTGCGTGCAGTGGGGGTCTGGGACGGTCCCTCTGTGTGCACGGGCAGTTGGGGGTCTGGGATGGGTCCCTCTGTGTGTGTGCGCAGTGGGGGGTCTGGGACGGGTCCCTCTGTGTGTGCGCGCAGTGGGGGGCCTGGGACGGGTCCCTCTGTGTGTGTGTGCAGTGGGAGGCCTGGGATTGGGGGGGCGCTCCAGCCTCCTGTGCGGAGTGTCCCTGGGCGCCTGCCAGGGCTGCTGAGGCCGCGAGGAAGAAAAGGACCGGGGTCCAGGGCTCAGAGGCCATGTGACCTAGGGAGGTGACGTGACAGAGATAAGAGGGAGAGGGGCCTGGCCTTTGCTGACCTCAGGCGGGGCTGGAGGAACCGTGGCTGTGGGAAGGGGTAGGAGACAAGTCACGGGTCCCCAGATGAAGGGCCCGTGGAGAGCGCGGCCCAGCCCCGTCCTGCAGACTCGAGGGAAGGACGCTTGTGGACACGGCAACTCACCCGAGCGATCGGCCTTGCAGCCTCAGGCAGGTGTCACGCCTCTCACGTGGGGCGCGGGACTGAGCCCCTTCCCACCAGCTCTGCAGGGCTCGCCGGGCCACGGCGGAGGCCAATCCCAACACGCAGGGTCTATCCGCTGACCCACGGGTCCTGGTCCTGCTCCTGCGCCCTGGGGTCACTTTAGAGCCAAAGTAGCCAAACCCTCCCCCCAACAGGCTGCGCTCGGTAGGTCCTCGGCCAGGGCAGCACATGTGAGCAGACCCCACTCCCCCCCAGCCTGTCGGCCGGACACGGAGACGGAGTGACCACGCCCACGCGGGACTCAGTTCGTGGCTTCCTGTCTCCATCCGTCCAGTGAGTGCATGTACTGAAAAGAGCCAGCCTGCCCGGACGTGCGGCTCAGTGGTTGAGCATTGAGCATCGACCTATGAACCAGGAGGTTATGGTTCGATTCCTGGTCAGGGTACATGCCGGGTTGTGGGCTTAAACCAGTAGGGGGCGTGGAGGAGGCAGCCGATCAGTGTTTCTCTCTCATTGGTGTTTCTATCTCTCTCCCTTCTCCCTCTCCCTCTCCCTCTCCCTCTCCCTCTAAAAATCAATAAAAACATTTTTTAAAAAAGACAAAAGGACCCAAAAAAGTTATATGTAGAGTTTCAACTGCATGAGGGGTGGGTGGGTGCCCCTTACTCCTGTGTTGTTCAGGGTCAACTATCTAACCTGACGCTGGTAGAGAAGCTGTGAACTTAAAGGGAATTTGAGAAGCAAGGGAACCACAGAGAATAGCCTAACTGCAAACTTACTGAAACCCGCCCGCTGGCGTGGCTCGGGGGTTGAGCTTTGACCTATGAACCACGAAGTCACAGTTCAATTCCTGATCAGGGCACATGCCTGGGTTGCAGGCTCCGTCCCCAGTGTGGGGCATGCAGGAGGCAGCCGATCAACGATTCTCTCTCATCATTGATGTTTCTTTTTTTTTTTTTTTTAATCCTCACCAGATGATAGTTTTCCCCACTGATTTTTAGAGAGAGTGGAAGAGAGAGGGGAAAGACAGAGAAATAGCAATGTGAGAGAAACACATTGATTGATTGCCTCCTGCATGCGCCCCGACCTGGGCCAGGGCTGGGGAGGAGCCTGCAAGCAGCCTGCAAGCAAGGTACCTACCTGGATATGAGGA